GTGTCAGTCCATCGTTGTGTATAGTTATGTACAATCTCACCTCATGCCCGTTAATCTGGAAATGTCCCTGGACTGTTAGAGGAGATCAGAACACCTGGTGAAACCCATGAGAATTTAGGGAGAAACCCTCCTCATAAAAAGGTGCCCTGGTTCAGAATCAAATATAGCAGCCAGCAGTCCTTCATGATTCCATTCATTCATTCATTTATTCCTATGTGGGTGTTTCAACAAATAAGGCAAGAGTTCCCGAGGTATGTATGCATAAACAGCAGAAAATGTTGTAAACATAATATCCAAACCTGTCTGTGCATGTGTCCCATTATAACACATATAGTAGATAGAAAATCCTTGAATCTGCTGGAGAAAAGAGTTAAACCTACCACTTTAGGTTTAATTCATCTGCTGAACAGATACTTCTTTAAGAGACCAAAGAAGTGGAAATCTGTGAGTTCCAGATCACAGCCTTGAGATCTGCTGTTCTTGCACATTCCTCTCACAATGCCACAAGTGTGGTTCACAGGGTGTGACCCTTTATATATGTCAGATCTGACATATATGTCAAGTGTCTTGAGATACTTTGAGTAAAAGGCACCATATAAAACTTAAATTGATTGATTGATTTGTTGGTTGGTTGGTTGATTGATTGATTGAATCAATGAATGAATCAATGAATGAATCAATGAATGAATGTTGGCTGACTGGTTGGTTGAGATGAACCCAGTCCTGATTGGATTTGTCAACACCTGTCAGTTGCTTCAGCACTCATCAGGTGCACACTTCTTCAGTACTCCTAGTGGGTACAACCTTCACCTGTACTGTATGTCTTGTCTACATATTAAATATGTGTAAGTGATCGTTAACATCAGCATGATTAATGTTGCTGCACGCTGGGATAATTGCTACACAGCCAGACATATTTAAAAAAAACTTGCCCTTTAAATTAGAAAAGTCTAATTTCAAATTATAATTTAAAGAGAGAAATATTTATCTGTTTACTGTTCATCTAGCACTGTTCTAGGTTTAGCATACAGAAGATATAAACATTCAAAATTACTTTATGGTGTACTGATATATGGAAAAATATATTTTTCTTTTTTAACAAATCATATTTCTCTTAATAGCATCTCTGTTGAGATCATGTTCATTAGCATGTGACACAATATGTCACATGTGACGCGTAAGCATTAAGAAATAAGCAATCTTATCACTGTAAAAAACAAAATAGGGATCTGTTGTAAGGTCTGGCCCCTCAATACAATCATATTCTCACAAAATCTTTGAGCGTCGATTACCAGAGAAAAAACATTGTGTGATGTTGCAGGTTGGTGTTTAAACTCATTTCGGATTCATTCACATTATGGGGAGACAATGCCCTTTGCACCTTCCACATGGGTATAAGAGCTGACATAAGAGGAAAGAATCTCTTGAGTGCTTAAAACAATCACAGGGACTGCTCGTCCTCTCCTGACACTGTGCTGCTAGTAGGAGTTGTGGTAGATCTCCCTGGGAGCAATAAGCAGTTAATATTCAACGTCTATTTCCAGCAACAATAGGGCCACACTTAAAATGGTTTAAATATTACTTCAAAACTCGAACTTAAAAATGAACAGATACGTTTTTTTATTCTTTTAAAATGAATAGTCTGTTAATTGGGAACTGAAAGGAAGTGAAGCTGACCACACTATAGGACTACGTTACCATGCCCAGTGCATAAATGTACTTGTCTTTTTCAAGGTTTCCTGGAGTTTCACTAGGTCTTATTGTGTCTTTATAAGCCTCTCCGCCCTTTCACACCTAGATTGTAGGGTGTTGTATTACACTTGATTGTGCTTTTAACGTAATATAACAAACCAAATGTTTATAAGAGTTATATCAACCAAATGGTAGGTTGATTTTGAAAATGTTTGAGGATTTGGAGGAATGTCTTACACAGCACAGAAAATTAATCTTTTATTGTAGAAGCAACAAGCAGTGTGAATGCTCAAGGTTGCCAAGTTTCAAATAAATAATTATTTGACTATGTGAAAAACATACATACAGCATAGAGAAAGATATTGTCTTGGCAAGTCAGCCAGACCTATTACAGGAAAGGCAAAAGAGCTTTCCCTCTAACTCAAAACAGGAGGAGTCGCAGTAACTTTACAAGCAGCAGATTAAATTCTAAAATGCTTTCACTCCTTCGGGTATTTCATTAGAGGGCAGATGGATTACTTCATGCAGTTCGTAAATATATACACCTGAAGTAAAAACAAAAGAAGAGGGACACATAACATAAAGAATGTACTGAATGAAAAAAATCCAGACTCATCATTTTGCTGCTCAGGTTGAGCTGTATTAAAAATAGAAAAAAAAATGTTAGTCAGATTTAAGATGGTAAATTTTAAATCAAGGGAATTTTTGTAAAATCTGTACATATCTTGTTTGGAATACCTCGTACAACTTTGGTGGACACCTTACAAAAATTACTTTGCAGTTTGGGAATGGGAATAGTGTCTAGATTACTGATCTTGAAGGAATGTCACACAATGACAGCTTAGAGGAACTAAATATCTTTAGTGCTAAATAAAACAGGTTACAAGAGGTCCTGGCAATCATCACCTTGAGGATTTGACAAACTCATTCTAATGGGATTCAAGTAAAAATTAAAAAGAAGAAGATGTCTGACAACAAGACACACTTTTCAAAAGTCATGCGAATGTGTAACAAGCTACCCAGCTGACCTTGTTTTTGAGAAGCCAAAGCTGAAATTCAGATCAACAGTCTACCAGCATCTCTATAAATTAACTGGACCTCCTTTTGTATGCTTTCTTACATTCATCCAGATATACTTTCCATAGCTGCTTGCTCTCTTCAGAGGGTCTTTTTAGGTTTTCCATAAGGTTCAGTCTTTTGATGTGCAGATGTGTATAGATGTATATACTGTATGTATGCTTTGATATGCCCTACAGCATACTGCTATTACTGTATGTATTTAATTATATACAATATGTTGCTATTTAGTTTTTTTATCCGTGAAAATGTTTATTTTTTACTTTGCTTCGATAATGTTTTGAATGATTTGCTGATTATACATGATGAAGAAAAGAGCTAATACTTTTATAGACATTTGCAGACATCTTCTGTATGTCTTGAGATAATTAAATGTGCACTGTGAATGATAGTAAGAACATATGTGTGTCTTTCACTTATCAGTGTTCAAGCTTTACTATGATATGATTTCGACGCAAGAAATAGTCAAATACATAACGGATAAGCAGATTCTTGGTGCTATCATTCTAATTATACAGAGATTTCCAATGTTACTGTGCCGAATATTACACATATGGAAAGTGATGACAGCTGTTTAATCCACTCTGCAGAATGATAATTAAATAAAAAACAATTGTAGGATAGTCCTTCGTAGATGCCCAACCCACTGATGGAGAAGAAGGTCTGGGCAGATTGCAATTGTCTCCGCTCACGTCTTTTAATCATTCCATGCAGAAATCCCAGACATCCCAGGCTCTGATTTATTTTTTTGCTACAACAGTTAATTTTGCTTTTACTGCGCCAGTTTTCTTTTCCCTTTTCTGTCATAAATGCTAGCCCACTAATGACCATATATGTCAAATCTTCAGGGAAAGAATGCCTCACATTTCACTGTACGCTAATGTAATGAATTCATCTGTTTGCTTCTGGCCCTGCTTTGCATGCAATTAAACTTCAGTCACATCCAAAAGCATTAGATCAGCGCTGCCTAATTGGCTAAACCTTCTATTTTTAAGATATTAAACTCTTCACATGATTTTGACAAATATTCATAGGGAAGGTCAGCCTTCTTGTTGTACTTAGGCTGGAAATTCCAGAGGTGATTCCTCACGAGTGCATCAGGCCCAGGCACAAGTATAAAAAGGAGGGCCTTCGTCTGGCTGTGCAGTACAGGGTGGAAGGTGTCAGTGTCCTGAAGCAGCACAAGAGGGGAAAAAGAAGGCGAGCTGACAACATGAGCCACAGCCCAGAGAGGATGTCTTCATACCGGCGCCATTTTGAGGACAGCAGCTCCTCTTCCTACCAGGTGCGAGTGTCCAGCCCCTCTCCCCCTCGCGCCAGGGGGGCGCGGCACCGCTCTGCCAGCTACTCCCGTTCCTCCACGACCCTCAGGGCGGAGGCAACAGGCCGGAGGACGGCCTCATCCAGCCGGAGACCCCACATAGCCAGGTAGGACGGCTCAATCAAGTCAAGAGCGACGAGAAGAAGCCCAGAGGATCCGGCAAGTTCGCTGTCTCGAAAACCCATTGGTTTGACGTCTTCGAGACATGGCAGAGAGCTGACACACAGATGTCGCTCTGCAGTGTTTTTAAAATCCCAGCTCGCCCTATGGAAGTGTAGGAACTGGGGTTTTCTGGTCTCTTGAAGAAGGGGAGGGAGGGGGAATCCAGGTATTTTCATGTCAAAAGATGTTCTTACAAGAGAAAATGAACAATGAACATTTCTAACAAAGCTTGTAGGTCATCAGAGTTTAGCAAAGTATGTGAAAAATAGAAAAGGCTGTCACACACTGTATCGCTGCTTAGGATCTTTGAGTGTGTGTGCACGAGTGTGTTGCTACTCTGACCCCCTGTGTGTCAGGTAGCCTGTGTCGCTCTGTGATAATTACAATTTTAGCTTACTGATGCAGACTTGTATGAGGTGAAACATTGATGAGTTCTAGCAAGTCACAATCAAAACATGTGTGCATCCAACTCATTTTATTTCCTCTAGGGATAGAGGTATGAACATTAGCCAGATTGTACCTTACTTATAAAATTAGATTAACTTATTTTATTTTAATTTTACAGAGCTTTTTTTTCATCTTTCACAAAACGCAGTGTGTGCTGGATTAGTACTGAAAGGTGGCTTTATGGGTGGAATCAGTTTTGCCCACTATTACAAGGCTACAAGAAAAGAAACAGGAAAAGGCTTATGGAGCCCAGAAGACAGTACTAAAAAACAAAACAAGAGGCATTGACACAGCTCAGTGATATATCACCGCTGTTGGAAAATGTAATCCCAATGAATAATAGGCCACAAAGAACACATTACTGCAACTGATGGAGCACCATCTAAGTTTTAATTTGGCTTTATTTTGCATTATACGTTACTCTCTGCTTGGTCAACCTTTAAAATGAGATTATCTGGAACAGAGAAGAAACAGTTGTTGTTATTTCCTTGTTTTGCAGAATTTGTGAATCTGCATTGTGATCAAACAGAGACTGATTCTAACTTGTAACAACAGCAACATTTTAATGTGTTTTAAAAAGGCCTTTTGGGTGGTATTTGTTTCACTGGCATAATGCAGAATACTTATGTGTACCATTGAAAACTAGGAAATAAAATTTCCTTAATTCATGCGATAGTCATGTCTTAATGCTATTATTTTTTTAAGGTTTTAATGATGTTAAAGAAAGCTTATCTTTGCTCGACTTTGTCTACTACATTCATTTTTTAAGGTCTTCAACCAAGTTGAATTAATGTCTTGTCTTAATGCTGGATTTGTACTTATGCTTTCTTGTCACTGTGAATCAGATTTCTTTTAACACATGAAGTAAGGTGCTCGTTTACAAAACAGTTCCTTGCTTATTACTTCTTAATTTTGTTTTAAATTTTAAAATCAGCATTTAATTAATCTATTATTGTCCTACAAATACTCTTTTGTGCACATTTCTTGATTTGGATAATTGGATAATTTCAAAGTTATTCGTTGACATTCCTTCAAATATGACAACAACCACATCACAATATAGTCATATTAAATCTAGGAAGGACACAATCTTAAGAACAATAATATCAGCAGCCAACCCATTTACTAAAGACATTTAGTTGAAATATTAATCGCCACCCACGTTAAAATTACATCTTCACTGAAAATAAGAAATTTGCATTTGCAGTATTTTACAAGAAGGCGACGAAATTATTAACATGAATGTAACAAGATACCAATATTTTTGCCTGGTGACAAAATACAATCACACTCACGCATCATTCGGTTTCGCGCGTTGCCGAGAAAAATGCATTGGCGCGCATTAGTATTTCTTCACTGCTTATTCCACGGATTAGCTCCAATACATTTGTAAATATCTTTTCATATATTTCCAAATATTTTCTAGCCCTTTAAAATATCAGAACTTTTGTTTTTGTTTTCATATTTTGTTTTTTTAGAGTGCGCATTTACTTGACCGCTCTCATCTTTCTTGCTGCAATTTGTCTTCTGGTTCAGTGTAATGAAAGCCGTTGATTAATGGTTATTTCAGCATGGGGGCGATCTGTCTGGGTGTTGGGCTCGGGCCAGCGCTGGATCTGGATGCAGCTGCTGAGGCGAACCAGGAATTCCTGAGCACCCGAACCAGTGAAAGACAGGAGATGGTCGTCCTGAACGACAGACTGGCAGCGTACATTGAAAAGGCGAGACGTCTACCGTCTTTCTGGCGAAAATAGTTGTTTACTTTTTTTGCAAGAGTTGTAGTGATCTATCTCCACTGGGATCACATTAAGACTTGTTATAAGAGCTACATTTTAACGTGGGTATTTATTTCATTGTTATTGAAACTATCGTTTTCCATAACGCGACGTTCACTTTTCAGGCAATTGTTTCCTCAATGGATTCGCATTTTTTAAAGACTCCAGAATTTGTATCTTAAAAATCATTAATTGTGGTAGATATCATTTCTAGGTACATATATGCATTAATAGGGTTAAATCTGTAACTCGAATTATTCGTCATTACCGATGGTACAAATTAATTCTCACCTCCACATGTCATTTGGGCTTCTGAATGGAGCTTCTCTTCTCTCTTTACCCTGTGCGCACCCAGTGTTTTTCCAAACTAGTCCCGTGTAATTTCATACTATCAGAAAGTGTTCACACCTGAAGGTCAGTGAGGATAATAGTTTTAAGATGTATCTTATCCGTTAATAAATGCTTACAGAACGATAGAGAGGTTGGATTGAAGTGTTCCCAGGAAAGTAAAACAACTTTTCTATTTAAAGAAAAAGGATAAGAAGCTTTCCTGAGTGTTTTTTTTTTGGGGTGGGTGAAAAATCAACATGACTTACAACTTAAGATGAAAAGTGAATATTGAAATCTTAATGATTTGTCTCTTAGATAAATGGAAAACTGCATTTTCACAATACAATTGTATTGATATCGGACAATTTTATATATTGAGTGTAAGAGATCCCGTATTTCTGCCACATCTGAAGTATTTCTTAATAGTGCTTTTAATCACCAGCACGCAATCTTGTAATATTACACTGTAATATTTTCTATATAACGGGTCTTGCACAAGGAGACAAAATACGTTGTATTGTTCTGACCGGAAATATAGGAATAGACTACTCAAATATGTGATTACACATTTGTACAGTCTACCTGTGTGTTGTCTGTACAATGTCTGTATTGTCTCAAATTAATAAAAACACAATTCATAACATTTTAAGATCCGTGAATCATTTTCAAAACGCCCTGTTCTGTTGCCTGCTGATGCTGAAACAGACCATTTCTTTTACCTGCGAAATGGGTTTTTCAGAGGGCCTCCACTCCCGGGATTATCTCGGAGCGATTCTGTTTTCTGATTTTACCACGCTTGAATGTACCGCACAGACTGGGTATTTCGAAATGTGCCCTTCTGGCGGCCGGATAGAAACTAATGATCTTTATTAGTCATGCGCTCTTTTGCAGCACGCACAGTAGAAATGTGTCTTTTAGGAAACCGAGTGACCTCTATCCTTATTTCTTATTATTTCTATGCTCTCTTGTAGGTTCGTACACTGGAGCAGCAGAACAAACTGCTGGAGGCGGAGATCGAAGTTCTGCAGAAGAGAAAGCCGTCTGGGCTGAGGGTGCTTTATGAAGAGCAGCTGAGGGAGCTGAAGAGGATCGCAGATCTGATGAGAGCGCAGCGGGTAAGGTTACGACATCCAGGCAACAGGATTTTGTCTACTAATGTTCGACACACGGAAGTGAGGATTCCCCTGTCAAACTGTCATCGAATATGAGACCCTATACCTGTCAGACTAATTTCAACCTGTGCCATTCCGTTCAATGTTCTCACTGGGGCGTCCTGTCAAAGAAATGTCTGCCAGGTGTTCCTCATCTACACGCTCATGACTTTTACTTTCCGGGCCCGCACATGAACGTTAACAAAAGTGGCAAAAGTTCAAAGCTTAAAATTGCATTATGATAGTGTACCACCAACGCACGACCCCCACAGTTACAACAGATTTGAGCATCATAAGGATCAAAGTTTGAGAAAGACAATAGATACGTACAGTAGCCTACAGTATATACTAACATGACTATAGTGTAAATACTAGCTGTATGGTTTTTGAAGATCCCACACAATTAGAATGTCGACAATGTACTTATCTTGGGTGGAATTCATCCAGACTTACCTGCTGAAAGGGAAGGGTACATCTCGTTTAATTATAAATGGGGAAAATGAATGCTATATATAGTAAATTCTTTTGTAAAGACTTAAGAAATTCTAGTTATAGTTCGGTTTTGGCACTAACACAAAATCTCGGGGTTGTCATAAAACAATCATTTTCAAATGATATCTCCCTTCATTCGAAATCGGATTATCACGAGGGATACTCATTATGAAAAAGAAACGTGTTCATAGGCAAGAACTGATTTTTAAATTGTTGGAACTGCCGTTCAGAATATGTTGCAAGAGATAGACCTATCACGTCTTTATTTCTTAATTTGTATAATTTAACTGTTTGCTCTTTATCTAAATATATCTTCACCTTATAGTTAAGTCCTTTTCGAAGCGAATCAGCACAACATTAGATACGAATAGCTCCCGTCTGTCTTTACTGTATATGCACTGAATTCTGCCCCAGGTCTCTAGAACTAAAGCCATTATTATGACGAATAATGAGGCCTTAATTAAATGTACATTAATTATGATATGAATAACCTGCTGTTTCGATATAATTAAACATTAGTGGTTGACGATACAATCGGCATTCTTCACCGTCTGTTAAATGTTAAAATGTCTTGTTTGCAAGCCATGTACAGTACTATGTTGTATGTATAATATGTATGAAAAAGAAAAACGTCCACACTTCCCTTTTGCGTGATAACAGGAGGAGGAATTTGATTTTATGAGGAACAGAAATAATCTTAACCGTAACCTGGTACGTACAAGGGTGTGAGGAGAATTGGAACAGAATACCCTAATGCAGTGAAACTAGAAATGGTCGTAAACCAGCAATAGGTCTTGTAGTACATCCTTGGCTTTCCGATAATACCTGAACTTATTAACTGATAATGCCGTGTCTCGCAGGACATGTCTCTAGCAGCCAAAGAGGCTATGGCTGGACAGCTTGAAATGCTCAAGGCAAAATACGAAGAAGCGGTCGAGGGAAGGAAGAAAGCCGAACGGGACATCGAAGCTTTCCGCCCTGTAAGTACTGTTGTTGGAACCTCATATTCGACCACCTTTTGGTGGTCGGTGGTGGGGAGTCCCCATTACCTGTAAAGTGCTTTGAGTGGAGTGTCCAGAAAAGCGCTATATAAGTGTAAGCAATTATTATTATTATTATTATTATTATTATTATTATTATTATTATTATTATTATTGTTATTATTATTATTCAGTCTACTAAAGAAAAAAAAGAAAATGTATGAACAACAGTAGACTTTTTTGCTTTTCCCAATACATTTCAGGATGTGGACGCTGCTACGTCGGCGCGAATCGCCCTGGAAAAGCAGCTGGAGACCCTCGAGGTGGAGCTGGAATTCCTTCAGCGGGTGCACAAGGAGGTGAGCGGGCCTCCGCCGCGCGCACCCGGCGCCTCGACTTACACGACGTTTTGTAATACCGAAAACTGATCGCCTCGTTGTTGTGTTACGATCAGGAGATAGAGGAGCTGATGAAACAGATTTACAGTGGAGTCATGACGGTTGATGTCGCCTTCTCCCTCCCGGACCTTGCTGCTGCCTTGAGACAGATTCAGTCTCAGTATGACGATATTGCTGCAAGGAATTTAGAGGTAAACTTCCTCTAGCCCTTCTAGAGACACCACGCCTTTAAGACTACAGTTTTAAAGCTTATATCACTTGATATGTAAAACTTTGTGAGAGCTATGGTATATACAACGTTGACATACTATAGTGAACACCCCCAAATCAAAAGGGATTAACACATTGTCCCCCAACTTCTAAGCCTCTTTAAAGGCCAACCTTCTTTGTGACCATTTGCACCAGACCCTGTATTACTAGTCTAAACTGGCCAATACTACTATAATCTCCATTGCGTGCTAGGTGTTGTATCTCCATAAATTAACATCTATTAACTGTATACATTCAGATCGTTTTAGACGTTGTAAAAGATTCTCTTTGACATGAAGAAGCAAGGAATGTGACAGTTGGACAATGCACTTATAAGACCCCATTTTAAATATTTGGCGTACAATTTTGGCCACCATGATACGAACCTAGCATCTCTGGAATTGGTCCAGAAAAGAGCAGCCAGATACCTTTTTAGGATTAAAGATAAACCCTGTGGTCAACTCATTGGACTTCTGAACCACCAGTGAAACACAAGCCAGTGGATGCCAGCAGACACAACATTTAAAACCTCCAGAACCGGAGGCACTTTTTTGCACAAGTGGTTTGCAACCTGCTTCTCAACCATGTTGCGGAAGCTGATGCCCTGACTTCATTTAATATGTAGCTGGATAAGATCCAGAGATCAATTAGCAACTCGCAAGTGAGCCATATACAGTAGCTCCTTAATTCCGTATGTTCCTCAGCAGGTTGCAGCAACAAAACTAAAGATTTCATGAACTTGTCAGACATTGCATGGAACTCTTCTTCCAGTCCTTGACACATGCACCTCTCTTTTATAGGAAATGGATAACTGGTATAAATCGAAATTTGAGGATCTTAACCATGCTTCAACAAAGCACGTGGAGAGAGTCAGGAGCGTGAGAGAAGAAATTGCAAACTGCAAAAGAGATGTGAGTCATGGTTATCGTACGTAAGATGTTACACCGACACGTTATTTATGTTGCCGTTCATCTGCAAATACTGTACGTTCTTTGTGTGTATGTGCTTGTATGCGATAGAGTAGGGAAAAAAACCCAACATTAAATACATAGCGTTAACCAAATCCAATCTTTTGATAACTTTAATTACAAGACGAGAAATTCTATGGAATAATCGGTCACACAAAACTGAAGGGTTACAAGTGCAATGCAAAATAGGCTATATCTATTTAGACAGGTAACAGGAGGACAACTAAGCATCCAGCAGCGTTTTCAGACTGTCTTGATAGGCTTGGTATTAAGCCATTACTAATTTATTTACATTATTTGCAATAGAGCGAAACCATTGGCACATACATAATGCTCGTCAACGCTACATGACACAGTGGAACAAATTTAGTTCTCTGCAATAAAGTAATGCGAGATGACCTTTAGAAACATTACGGTAGTGCCGTGCTCGAAACTGATGGAAACCCGACGATCATTTGCTAACAGAAAAGTCTTTATTCAATGACAAACGGCATGCAATCTGTTTTACAGATTCAAAGTAAAGAACGAGAGCTTGAAATGCTTAAAAATAAGAACGCTGCGCTGGAGGCCCAAATACGAGAGGCACAAGAGAGACACAAGAAGGCGATTGAAGATCTGGAGGTAGCCTTATTTGGCACAGACCAACAACGGAAATGTAGCTCTTTATGCTAATAATGCATGAATACATGTTATATGTAGTATATTTGCTCGTATGTCATAATAATGTTATATTTCCTTTCCCAACAATATTCTTGTTGACCCATTATTTAAAGTAATTAATACAAGTACAGCTGCACGTACTGTACCTATGTACAGTATATGTTGACCACATTGAGCTTAAAACTTAAGAAAGTTTTGTCTGCTTTGATTTTTGACCAGGAAAAAATAAAGAGACTCCAGGACGAGCTAAAGTCTACAAAGGAAAAAATTGCCCTGCATCTTCGAGAATACCAGGATCTGTTGAATATTAAAATGGCCCTTGACATTGAAATTACCACCTACAGGTAATTCGTACAGATACCTACAGGTACTGCTTGAAAATGAAAGAAAACGTTATATTGACAATGTATACCTCAGTGAACCAGGTAAACCAACGTGAAGACGTTGTTGCTTTGTAGCGCAGCAAACGTACAGTACAGTAGCCTTACCTGTATCGTTAAAGCGGGCTTGTCCGAACATACATTTTTGCAATAATTAAAGAGAAAAATTTGGTAATAACTTTTTTATCACTTGGAACCATTGGTTTTCGGACAACTTTCGATTAATCGAATGAATAAAAAATGTCCCTGCTTCTAATCTTAGAAAGTATTTTTAGATATCCGGAGTGTTTTTACATATCTTGAATAAAGATAATGCCTTTCAAATTATAGTTTATTAATCGATTTTAAACATGTATCCAGTATAATAATAAACAAGACATACCCAAACACTAAAAAGGTGCAAATAAATATTTGTTTCGTTTCCCTTCAGATTAGACAATACATTAAGTGCTTTTATAGATACCCTGTACATAAACACATTTGTTTTATTTTTCTAAGGAATTCCTAAAGAGTTTCCATACTAAAAAAGTAGGATGGGTAACTCTACAAGAAGCAAGTGAAAGCCAATCTAGTCATTAAGAGACGCCTTCGCCTTGTTTTATCCCGTCTTGGATAACCGAAAACCACTTTCTGGAGCCGGAAATTGTGTAGATGTAGTAAATCCACAGTAAATCCATACTCGTGCTTTACTAACGGCGATGTAAAGAGATAAATGGCCCGAATCAGGATGATATCTGTTACAACAGTGCAAGGACATTTGATCTGAAACAGTGCTACCGGCGACCAGGGTCTCTGCACTGTGACACCTGGTTTTCTGACAAATGTTTTCTACTTTCAAGTACAATGCCGAAGAGACGCTTATTATTTACCTTTAATTCAATTTGCCGTTCTTATTCAGCTCAAATTTATATTGGATTGTCGATTTATAATAGCATAGTACGTGGGCAGTCTTAACTTTACCAACATAAAACAAAGTCAAACAAACATTTCGAGATGTATTTGTGAAATCGCGCGTTTGTGTCAAGAAAACGCGTTCAAGCGCACCCGCGTGTAGCGCTTGACATTTCAATTGAAACAGAAAATGCTTTTCTTGTTTGAAGGACGCTCATTGAGGGCGAGGACTCCAGGCTGACCGGTATGGTGAGAAGCTTGCACCTGACGAGCGGCAACATGATCAGCCATCGGCTGGGGGCGGTTGAAAGCATTTCCAAAGAGCAAGCGGTGGAGGTGACTGAGAGAAAAACTGTACTAATCAGGTAAAAGTAACGCTTTAAACAACAATTGAAGACTACAGGTGAATCTGTAAACCATTGGCAGTAGTACTTTGTGCTTTACAATTTAAAAATGTGTTGCCTTCTTTACCGTACATTTGTATGTAATTTCTATGTACAATATGTAAAGGTATTGAAAACACAGATTTATATAGCTAATATATAAAATATCTGCTTGTTACTGTTGCAATAGAAAATACTTTTGGGTGTGCTAATATTAATTGAAAAGCTTAGTACTATAGAAATGGCTTATACTTAATCAGATACAGATAATGCCTATTCGTTATTTTATGTGACGTATCTCCCACACTAACAATTGACACTTCAATTAGAAATATATTCAGAGGAATTCTGCAAAACGTCTTCTCAAAATATCAACGTTAACAAGTAGGCCTATACCTGTTATTTTCTTGTGGTCCTTGTAATGTGAAAGGTTAAAGCCTATAGCTTGAGTTTACTATAGTAGTCCGTTATCTGAGTTATTCCATCAGACACAATATACAAAATATTAATACATAAACATGGATCTATAAATACATCTAAGAGGAAGAAACTAAATGGATGTGTGTTTCATGTGTTTCATCCTGACCCCTGTTTTCTCCCAGAACAGTTAAAACAGAAGAGGACACGGTGCTAAAGGATACCCAGGAGCGCACGATAACCATTTCTGGTGCTGCTGATGAAACCGACGAAGAATAAATCAGGACTGAAAACGCCTCTGTCAAGTGATGGATATGTCTTAGAATTAACATTTAGTACAAGTGCCTTTAACCCACAAATACCCAGGACTGTGTTCCTGAGATTAGCATTGCTTGTGCCTTGTAATGCCTTCTTTCAGTATGCACAAATAAAACTAGCAGCAATCCGTTTGGCCTTTTTTTGTAACCCATCAGTCGTCGATATGTCCGTAACAGCCTGCATAAGCTACTGGACAATTAAAGTGCACACACTAATATATATACAGCTAAGAAGATGTGTTTTAGGTGGCATTTCTAAAACCTTAAATCCTTACATATGAAACACATAGGTAGCTATATTTGAGTAAATACGGTTTTCAGACGTCAGCATTACATCAGGATTGAGTTTTTTATATTACATACATTGAAGGTAAACGTTTTTGGGTAAATCATTTAATAGATATTACTTTAATATCTTGGGAATTTGGTCAACCATTCAGTATGTCTTAACATCTATTTCCTATAAAAGATTTTGCAAACTTTAGAAGCGCGTAAAGGTCTGCGTAGTATTCTTGAAACGATTTAATTAGGTTGATTGGTCTAAAGCTGGATGCAGTTTACTCGTGAAGGAGGGGAAAACGTTGAGATAAAATGATAAAAGACAGTTTTCTTATTAAACCAAAATTAAAATGAATTATAATGTTTAAGTTGAAACTTAAATACAACTCTCCTACTGTATATACGGTACGTCCAACAGTCTTGCTACTGTATCTTTTTCTTTGAATTTCGTGAGAAAGAGTAACTTCTGCTGAAGCCACCATTACCAGACATATTTGCTTATAAGACCTAATTCGCTTTGTTGTTTCAATCCAGTGGGAAGATTTACGATTCACAGATCAGCTGTTGCAACATTAAATGGAAGATCCCGATATATGAAATTGAGCCCTTCCCTAACCTTAGCATCAGTGGAGAAAGTTAGGAAATTCTCCCTCGTTGTAAGCGATAACCCCTGCCACTGTTTTAGTGGGAAATTAACAATCCTCGATTTTTAGTCTGTATATTTAAACCCAAGGGCAAGTTATTCTAAAAGGGGATTCCACATACAGTCTGTCTTATGCAAAATGTGCTCTGCAAAAACGCTTGTATTTTATATTGGTTTTTATAGTGAGCAACGTATTTTAATAAAAGGGTGAAAGAACAGACCGTTAGAAGGGTAATATAATACGGACAGTGTAATAATAATACTTGTTAAAATAATATACAGGTAACATGACACAAAAATGTTTAATTTAGGGGTTGTGGGACATTATAAACCACAACAATTGGAGTTAAAGCTTGAATGGTTCATAAAATGGCCACATTACTGATACGAAAGTATGATCACTGAATTCAGTGCTCTTTATGTTTTTGATGAAAAATGTACTATTTTCCTATCTGAAGTGATCCCCATCAGTACTGCACAGAGGAAAATGTGCCTTATGGCATTATATTGACTGCTGTCTTGTTTTGAAAATATAAGGCTGTGTAGGTTTTCTTATAACACATTGTAGGAGAGGATCATTTGGAGAGGAGGATAGCCACATCTTTTTTTAATTGAGGAAAAGAACTGTAATCAAGCTACAAATATGATACAAAATAGGAATTAACACAAGAAACCTCCCAGACTGCCTACTTGATTGTCTACATGCAAAGTTAAACATCCCAAACAGGCTAAAAAGTACACATAAAAGTCCTTGTTCAAGATCTCTTACAAATGCTTATAAATTATTTTCTTACTGTGAAGTTTGAAAATGGGATAAATATACTAAGAAAACAATTTTTTGCTCATAATATTTTGATTAAAAAGTGATGTCTGCTCAATATATACTTTTTGCAGGATGCTAACAAATCATACATGCAAAACAATTCAAACCTCTTTAAATATTGAGCATTTAGACACCACTAGTATGAAATAAAAAAAGCAAAAACTAAGAATCTGAAGGACTGGATACTGCACTTGGATGGAAATCAGTCTTGACCAGACAGAGGCAGTTGTATGACCAAATAATATTATAATTTGTCTTAAAAATGTAAATATTAAGTTATTACAAATCATAAGATGTTGTTATTAAGGAAATCTAGTCTCTTTGTCTAAATGGAAAGATTCGGTAGTAAGAAGTGAATCTTATAGTAGGGAGGAGTTTGTACCCAAGAGAAGAATTGTGAAGGCAATTTTAAATAATATAAGCAAACAGTGTGCATGAGTCATTCCTCCTTGTACTATTTAGAATCTTTTTAATGAACAATTCAACACAGATCACAATTTAACTATAATGTCTTATTGTTGCAGGAATTTAGAAACAGTAAGACTGCATGGGTTAGTAGAAACCTCACTGTTAAAACAAATACTTGTGCCATGAGGCACCTTTAAATGTAAATTATTCTCTAATTTTTGAATTAAGACTCTTATTTACAACACATTCTCAGATTAGTTTTAGATCCACACTAGTCTTTTGTAAATCTTAACATGGACTTCTGCAATGTCAAATGAATAATTTAATTACTTACGAATTCATATAAATTAGTTAAATATACGCTAAACCTTTTAGCCCAGTAGTTTTGGTGAATTACACTGAACATCTGAAATTCAAAACCTGAGATGGACAAAAATATTGTACACCACTTTGTGCCTCAGTCTAATTCCGATAGAATCAAAATAAAACACCAGAATACAACAGGATTTGTATCATGCAGTGTTTACAGAACAAAGGGTGACACTTTTCCTTCTGATCCACAGAATTCAAACCAGTACCCCAGTCATGGAAGAAGGACCAATTTTTCAAATAGGTTTTAGCTGTGATGTGGTGACTGAAGATCTAAAGATGTCTTTAACAGAATTAGGGATATCATGAGTGTTTACGATACTCTAGAATGTCCAGATTTTCTAAACAGCTACTTTAATTTTGTAAAAAAAATAAGGCAAATGGCTGTTTCATTTTAAACAGAATGTGGCTAAGATGTAGTGTATGAATGTTCATTTGACAGACTCTATGTATTGAGGAACCTTGGGAATGCAAATGTTTCTTGTTATGTCATTATGCATTCTTTCAGTGTGCAACACCACTGAAACGTCACATGGCATTTCTTGAAATTGCATTTGTATTAATGTAATACGGTCAAAATATGTCCTCTGTGAAATCAAGGAGACTCTTTACCATTTCTCCCTTTCCTAGATATAAAAGATTACTACTGTCAAATCATTGTCAAAATTCTTTGAACATAAAATAATCAACTTGAATACAAACTAAGTTAACCTGTCAGAGCCTGAGAAATACCTCAGTCTGATTCAATATTGTTGTCTGAGCGCTGCTTCTCAACATGCTCTATACATCAGCTGCTTCAGCATGATCACTGACTACCCACATGAAGCTGCTGCATTCTGCATATTGTTGAGATGCCAAATTCATATCTATGCTACGATGATATTCCATTACTTAACTTGGAGATTCTGGGTAGCATTTTGTATTTGTAAAGTTCTTAAAGAAAATATTCTACAAAAAAACAGTCAAAACACCATGAGCTACAAAAATTAAGCAGATCTAAAAATCCAATCTGCTTTGTCCACATACAGTACTTACAGGGTACAGAGGTGTGCATTGATACTGTACCAAATTGCACACAAAGGACATCTGAGGCCAGCCTAATATACATACTGTATATAAATTCATGTAATTAATGTATGATGAACCAATTAACAGATATTGTTCACCCAAGATGTCCTATTGTTTTATTTCTGTGACTGTTTCTGCGACATATTCGTATATTTCTCTGGATGCTACAATAGCATACATATTCTCTAGTTGTCTGTAATTCTGTCACATTCATCAAGAGCAGTGCCATAGGATTGAGTCACATGTCACAGCCTGAGCATCTATAAGGTCTGTACTGCTATCCTCATTACACAGAAAGGGACAGCACAACTAAATTATTTAATTGTACTATGGTAATGCTACTATAACAACCTTAAGTATTAGACCCAACTTTTAATGCTGTTTTTACAAATACAGAATAAATTCAAGAATAATTTTACTCTCGTAACTGATACTGACATAAGAAGAATGATTTCAACACTTTGTGTCGAACAAGGCTGTATGAGATGTGAGAACAAAAAGCTTCAAAGTGACACTGCCTGATACCAACATCAGAGATAAACTAACAACACTTGAAATCCTTTCTTTTGTCAAAGTAGATTTTGTTTTTCTTTGCTGAACAGTATTTTAAGGTCATATTGTGATTTAACAAGGAAAAGACTTCATCTAGTGTCTTGATATGTATGAGTTTAAATTCATTGCCAGAACATACAGACTATCAAACATACACAAATAGTCATTCAATGATTTAACATAAAATGAGATTGAGATTTAGAGAATTAATGGGGTTACTAACAGGGAACAACAAACTATAGAGTGTGGGTTAATCTGTGAGTCTATATGTCTGTCTGCCTTGAATATTTGTGTGCAAGATAAAAAAGTCCTAAAACATGACTAATAAGAATAAACTCACAGCTTGATTTCACCCATTCATTGCAAATGATAGGAAATCTATGAAGTGAGAATTGGATAAAGTATCAATATGGCATACTTTCCCAAATCTTTTCACTTCTCATATTTACTAATACAGATGGACCTGTATGCTAAGACTTAAATACACATATATGTACACATCTGTGCCTTTTCATTATATTGTATATTCAGGAAGACCATAAGATGCAATAATAAATAAAAAGAAAGATAATCGAATCTGAAAGTAACTGTTTAAATTTCATCACATTAAAGAAGCCTACAACATCTTGTTTTGTAGTCCACACTGTATTTTACAGATTAAAATACAGGGCTGTTAAAATAGGTCTTGCTGCAATCATATGAGTGAATTAAGAGCTGAAATCTGACTATAATCAAAGGCACAGCCATGCGGTCAGTTAATCCAGTCGGCGTCATTCCAGTTCATCATTTCCACAAGCTCAGTTCAACCGAAACAGAAACGTAATTAATACCAAATACGCTGGCCCTTTTTCTAGAAATCTACTGGAGACCTATTAAACCTAGAACTGTCAGGCCGTATCTCTAATGAGGAATTAAAGGCCTGTTGTGCACAACTGATTGCCATTACTTCATATCATGAGTTCGAATTCTTTAGTCACTTTACATTT